ATTAAAGTGTCACAGCATTAGGAAAGAAGAGAACCACTGGCTTTTCTGTTCCCACACATTTACTTATCAGAAACATTACACTGGTTTAGACAATGAGTCCAAAGCTAGTCCAGGCCCTCTTAAAAATTATTTTACATTTTATTTATTTATTTACTTATTTGTGTCAGAGGTGGTTCTTTCTTTCCATCTTGTAGGCAGTAGGGCACCTTTCCCTAATGAGTTCTCTTTCCAGCCCCAAAGATTTTGTTTTAAAAGCTTTTAGACTGTTCTTGCAAATGTCAATGGATTCATGACTATTTCCCAATTAAAAACCCCTTCCTAAAAAAAAAAAAAAAAAAAAAAAAAAAAAAAAATCAGTGGCGGAACACTTTCAAATCAACAGCAAGGACATTCCTTTTCGTTTGTTTTAGGAACATAATAAGCAGAGCACTGGGACGGTTCTCTCATGTGTGCAAAGCCATGCATCATCCCCACACCTAGCAGCTGTCTGGGGGCCCCGGATGCAGGGGAACCTCACACAGGTCCCTGTGGCTCCTTCTGCATCTCTCACTCATAGAAAGGAGAGCAGAGTATACATTGGCAAGTAACTAATTCCCACAATGTACAGGGGGATAAAGCTAGGGGCTGGAATGTAGCTTAGTGGTAGAGAACATGCCTAGCACACTCAAGGCCCTGGGTTCAATCTCCCGTGTCACCAGAGGAAGAGAAGTGTATGAAGTTAACTATCCATCTCAACATCTATCCTGTAATCCTAGTTACAGGTAAAATAATACTGTCTTGCCTATTTCTACTTTTCCCCAGGAGGTTATAGGACTACATTCCAATTATATAAATAATGTTAGCCTAGCCACCTATTTCCAATATAGATAAATAAAAGATTACCTGACCTAACACAAGACTAGCATTGAGCAGGAACTCTAAAGATCTCCAAGACAGACTGTATTTGGGGCCTAGGGAGCAAACAAAGGGCCTCATACATGTTAAACGCCCATCCCACCAGTGAGCAACATCCATGACCATAGGACTACACATTCCTGTCATCAGAACTAAGAAAACCTCCCAGCTCAAGCCACTAGAACTTCATGGACTGTCTGAACTGCCAAAGTAAAATCCTTGAGGTAGAATTAGAACTCAGGTCCTACCTGGGCAGAGCTCCACTTCCCTTCATCAAAGATGTCTCCCAAGATGAAAACGACTTCCGGTTGCAGCAACCACAGAGCTGTCTGAAAAGCTCTCTCCATTTGCCACTCCCTTGAGAAAAAAAAAAATCAGTCTGTTTTTTGGGTGAAGGAAGCTACTTGGGCCTGCTCAGTGATTTAGAAGGTGATGTAGTCTGGTGTGTGGTAGTGCAGCTCTTTAAGCCCAGTACTCCAGAGGCAAGCAGATCTCTGAGTTTAGGGCCAGCCTAGTCTACATAGCAACTTCCAGGGCAGCTATAGCTACACAGTGAGAGTGTATTACAAATAAATAGGTTAATTAACTAATTAGCAAAGCCAAATAAAAAGTGAATTAAATGGTCCCATTCTGTCTCCCATGGCTCTAATCTTGATTCCCAACCCTAAACTTTGGAGCAACCAATAGATTTGCATTTGATCAAATTTAGGGAATTTTAAGGCTGCCTTCCCTCACCCTCAAGTGCCCTGAAGCTATCAGTTCAACAAGGGAACCCAGGGATTTGAAAGGGCTTAACTACTTCCAGAGAGGCCTAGTAGGTTTACACCACACTGAGAAGATGGCTTGCAGTCTAAATTTTTTTTTCTTTTTTCCGATTGTGTGTATGTGTGTGTGTATATGTGTGTGTAGTGTTGGGCATGCAGGTTTTGTTTCTTTCTTTTCTTGTTATTTTAAGGCATGCAGGCTCTGGACCTACAAACCCAGATCAAGCTTCCCTTCTTAACCTGAACTTCAGTGTTACAGGGAAACAAAGAAAGAAATCACAACAGTAAATCCAGTCAATTTCAGAGATGCGTGATCACCCTGAAGGTAAGTTTGCACACCCGTGAGAAGGTGTATGGTCTGACAGGCAACGGCTTAAATGCCCAGCACTATCTGTTGGTAAGTGGAGCCTGGAGAACATTACCACTCTGATTCCCAATTTCTTCCTTAGTAATGAAGACAAAAAAAAAGGAAGAAGAAGAAGAGGAGGAGGATGTCAGGAAGAGGAGGGAGAGGAGGAAAAGGAAGAGGAGGAGGAGAAGGAGGAGGAGGAGGAGGAAAAGGAAGAGGAGGAAGAGGAGGAAGGGGAGGAAGGGGAGGAGGAGGTGGAAAAAGAAGGAGGAGGAGGAGGAAGATAAGGAAGAGGAGGAGCAAAGAGAAAGGAAGGAAGGAAGGAAGGAAGGAAGGAAGGAAGGAAGGAAGGAAGGAAGGAAGGACATACACTGTTGTCAGCATGGGAGTGTATTCCTGTCATGGCAAGAAGACCATAAGTTCAAGGCTAATATGAACTACATAGAAAGACTGTTTTCAAAAGAAATTATTTTCTTTACTAAAAATGGAAAGCACCCACTTTCGAGGATTAAATTAGTTGGTGCTTGAAGAGTGTCAGCAGCACACAGTTACAGGAGAAGTGCCATGCTCCTCGGTCTGGCCCTCCTTCTCCTCACCAACTCCCCCTGCAGTCACTGTCCTACAGACCCCTCCCTCATTGTCACAGCCGCTGCTCCGGGATGTTGTTGCTCCTCTAAAGAAGAATGCTATGCCCTACCGTACAGAAACAAAAGAAAGGTGGTTTGGTTTTGTTTTTAATCAAAGTAATTTTTAGACCCCAAGTATTTGGTGTATATTATTATTTAAAGGTTTGTCCTTCCGGAGCCAGAGGTGGCTCTGTGGCAGAACATCAGTGCAATAGCACTGGCAGATGAGAAGGAAAAACTACCCGGGGGGTTGAACTCACAAGTCCCAGTCAAAGCTGGAAGTACAGCCTCGCTCTGGTCTTCCCTAGCTCATGTCCCCATTGGCCAGAACTCTTCATAGAAGGACCTGGGAGCTCTTCACCCTTCTTTCCTCTTTCCCCCGACGCTGGGAACATCTATATCCTGCGCACTCTGCCAACCTCAGGTCACCACACCTGCAGCATTCACAGGATGCCGCCTCTTGAAGGAGTGCTCACATTTTAGAAAACAACTGAGCTGTGGTGAGGAGGGTTACAATTGGATCTGCCATGTCCCCTGAGAGCTCGTGCGTGACAGGTTTGGTTGTCCACTGATGGGCTTCGGAAATGGCTGGATCCTAAGGGTTTGAGTATCACCAATATAGCAAGTCCAGAGTGGATTCATAGTATGATGGAATTATTGGGAAGTGTGACCTAGCAGGAAGAAATAGGCCAATAGGGACCTTGTTTTTGGCCCCTTCCTGTCCCTCTTTCTGCTTCCTGTCCAGGGTGAAATGAGCTGTTCTGCTCTGCAACCTCCTCCACCGTGACGCTCTCCCTCACTCCAAGGCCAGAAACAAGAAAGCAAGCGCTGGCAATCTGAGCCGCCGCAACTGTTAACCAACATAAACGTTTCTCCTTTTTACTTATGTCCGGTATTTTGTCCCAGGGATGAAAAGCTAAGACAAGGGACGGCTACAGGATAAAAATGGCTGCCAGTAAGAGCCCTTTCAATGCCTCAGTCACGGGAGCCAACTCCAGTGTTTACCCAAGATGAAAGAATTTTCAAAATGTAGTCCACACTAGGTCTGTAATCTCAGCCCTAGGATTGCCAAAATGTAAAGCCATCCTGGGCTTCACAGAGAGTTTAAAGCCATCCTAGGCTCCACAGTAAGTCTCTGTCTCAAAAAATAAACAAAAATGTAAGGTCCGGACAAGGAAATATGGTTCAGTTTTTCAAAGGAATGAAATCCTGACATGTCTACAACATGGGTGAACCCTGAGGGACATTGTGATAGGTGACTTGGTATTAACCAGTTGCAGAAAGAAGTGCTGTGTGGTTCCTCTTAAATGTGATGACTATAGTAGCCAAGTTCACCAAGGTGAGAAGCACAGTGGAGGCTTCCAGGGACAACAGTTGCCGTTCAAAAGGAAAACATCTGGGGGTGGGTAGTGGCAACAAGTGCACAGGAATTTGAACAGGCAAATGCCACTGTATGTGCAAAACCAGATAGTGACAGTATTCATTGTGCATTTTACATCAGTTCAAAGTAGAGAACGAGAAAAGCTTGCTAGTGTAAAAACAGATTAAGCTGCTGCTTGCTGCAGGTCAGAGTTGAAGAGGCAAGACCTTACCCATCCTCGGGGAGACAGGTACACACCTGCCTCATGCCTCTGGCTGTGCAGAGGAGCCAAAAAACCCAGTGTGCTCAAACTAACATACCACCAAGATGAAAAAGAACCACCAATGCAGAGCTATAGCCTCCTGCCCAGGGACCACCACTCCCTCATCTCAGAGGGTGTGTGGGTACCTTCCTCACACAGCTATGGTTTCCTGTACTAACCCAGAGGAAGGACTTACAGACTCACCAAACTCCCAGAACTAGCCAGCAGCCCAGTCCACACTCTAATTACAGGACTCTGCGTATAATAGGTGCTTAAAAATTAGTAGGAGAAAATTCAAACCCTACACATCTTTAGAAAGAAATGTGGCTATAACTGGAAGCTTCCCAGCTGACCTGTGGGAAGAGGGCCATGCCTTCCTCCCTACTGAATTCCAGGAGTCCCAGTTTCCCTCCTTACCTTCGTAATTTGTCCAGCCAGTGGCCTCTTATCTCCCCAAGTAAATGAGTGTCAGCCAGAAACATGGCTTTCACTACAGGATCCTGCCTACTGCCATGGGCTAGCATCTTCACCTCAGGCCAACGGCATCGAAGGAGGACAAGGTAGTAGATGAAATATTCACAAAACAGAAGCACAGAGATAATGACGACTGTGACTTTCAGCAGCAACGCTTTCCTCCTCCTCAATGGATGGAAGTTCTGTCTTCTCAGCCCCCATCTGACCAGAGCCATGTCTCCTGCCCAGGAGTTGCCAGCAGAAGAGAAACAAGTCCATCAAGAACCCACCATAGAGAAGGGTAATCGTAGAGACGGGGTCTAGTCCCAAGCTGTTCCTACAGGGAAACAGGAAAGAAAAACCCCTGAAACTTGATTGTGCATGTTTCCACAAAGACAGTTTGCCCTGCAAATTAGTGTTGAAAGTCCCCATGGCCTTCTTTCATATGACCTGATGTACCAGAGCTTTTCTGAAGGATGCTTAGAATGTTTCTGTGCGGGCTGGAGAGATGGCTCAGCGGTTAAGAGCACTGACTGCTCTTCTAGAGGTCCTGAGTTCAAATCCCAGCAACCACATGGTGGCTCACAACCACCCATAATGAGATTTAATGCCCTCTTCTGGTGTGTCTGAAGACAGCTACAGTGTACTCATAAATAAAATAAATAAATCTTTTTTAAAAAAAAAAAAAAAAAAAAAGAATGTTTCTGTGCTCATCCTGAATCTTGGCTAACCTTGCATGCTGTGAAGGAAGCAGGTTTTTGAGACATCCGAGCAGCACAGTGTAGCAGAATATTCCCCCCACTACAGTTTACAAGAAACTCGGTAATTTGGGAGGAGCTAATGTGGGAGGAGTAAGGAGAGGAAGAGGAGGAGCTAGGGAGGAGAGAGGCAGGATGTAGGAGCCATGAAGAACCACGGGGTCCAGGACTGTCCTGGGTAACAACTTATATGTAGGTTAGTTAATTGGGAAACACCTCTAATTGTGTGGGCGTCTTTTTATGTGAGCATTACCAAACATATAAAGCCTTTGGATAATCTTTAAGCATTAGAGTCTCATTTCTACCGGGTACCACATGGATTGTGGGATGGTCTGGGCTCAGCTAAGCATTGTAGAGACTGATTCTCGTGGGTGCAAGGGCCAGTGCTTTGACCAGCATGAGCCGGGGTCACAGTTGAGCAGCAGCGGGAGCAACACCTCAGCGAGAGCACACCTCTGCTCATGGCCATAGACCTTGCCTAGTCGGGAAGATGGTGGCCCTGTAACAACAAGCTAGATGGGGTGCTGCCGGTTTTAATAGCACAGTTGATGAAAAGATGCTCCAAGATATGTTACGAGCTTCGTTTTAGCTGCTGCATAATTTCCCAGCATGTGCTCAAGAGAAGAGTGTGAGGAGGGAGTAGCCAGCAGGCCACAGAGAGCCTGGACATCAGAGAAGCCATGACAGGAGATGAGGCCATGGCCAGACATCCCAAATGAGCCAAGAGAGAAAAGAAAGCCACGACTGCACAGTTGGCTTTTAGACATGAATCCAGGAACTACACTGGTTCATAGACATGGAGTCAAGAACACACTCATTGCTAGATGGTTGACAATTATCTCTGCAGACTCCAGGCTTTGGGACCTATTCACACTCCAGACATAGAAATAAAAGTGTCTGGCTCAGCTGGGCAGTGGTGGCATAAGGCTTTAATCCCAGCACTCAGGAGGCAGAGGCAGGTGAATCTATATGTGAGTTTGAAACCAACCTGATCCACAGAGTGAATTCTAGGACAGCCAAGGCTACACAGAGAAACCCTGTCTAGAAAAAAAAAATTGTTTTAAGTGTCTGGCTCATTTCACAGTGGCATTCTGCACTGAGCCATAATTACAGATATGAAAGACTGAAAACCTTATCCAAAGAAAAATAGAGGCCAGGTGTGGTGGTACATGCCTTTAATCCCAGCGTTCTGAAGGCAGAAACAGGTGGATCTCTGTGAGTTTGAGGCCAAGCTGATCTACACAGTGTGTTCCAGGCCAGCCATGACTACACAATAAAGCCTGTCTAAAAACAAAAAAAAAGAAAAGAAAAAAGAAAGCAATTGAGCGCATGCTTGGAACTATTATGCAAAGTTAACAAATAAACCACCTCAGAGTTGGAGATGCCTTGGAAAACAGAGAAATGAGAAGTTTCTGCAGCTACTCAGACAGGCCAGTGACCACTGCAATTCTTACTTTGTAGCCGTTAAAAAAAAAAAAAAAAAAAAAAAAAAAAAGCGGGTAAAAATTGGCAGCCCTGGAGACTCCCTTACTCACCAGGATTTGTTTGGGGTTTTGTAGTAGGAATTGAACTCGCAACCTCACCTGCTCTATTCATCAGGCACCCAACCACAGAGCCACACCCCACCCCCTCATTCCTCTGCCTTCATTTGAATGACACCATTTATATTAAGTACTTAATGGAAGAGGTCATAGCGAGCATGTTATATATTAAGTACAACCTTTCCCCCAAAGAATAGCCTTGCCTGCAATGTGGAACCAACTCCTCCTCCTCCTCCTAGAACCTTTCTCAGAAAACCCACAGCATCATTATCACCAGATGGCAAGGCACTGTAGCCGCCTGCGTTATCTTGTCTACTGATTATCCTCCTCAACTCAATTTCTCTAAGACCAAACCACAAGTGCCAAGGGACCAGACTCACCATAGTCTCTCTCTCTCTCTCTCTCTCTCTCTCTCTCTCTCTCTCTCTCTCT